AGACTGTCGTGAAAAGCTGGATATAGGGGTTTAGACAGCTGTATAATACCCCTGCTAAAACCAGTGTTACAATATCTCAACCGTTCACGACGATATTGACAAAACTGCTTTCGTCACTATCACGAAATGTAAATAATCTTCAAAGGATGACATGTCATTTGTCAGTGACAATGCAGTCAGTGACGGACATGTTCATGTGTTGTTTTTAGCTAAATTTCTAACAAAATTAATTGTTTTATGTAAAATAAATGCATAGAACCGGCAAAGTAAACATGCATCTACGTCTTTAACTGAATTTATAACAAAAATGTGAAAGAAAACGCAAAACATTACACTTTTTTCTCACTAACAAAAAATTTATGAGATTTTGATGAAAGTTTAGCTGAGAGTCAATTCGTCCAACGACAATATCAAAACGAATTTTGTCAGAATCGCGTGAAATCTAGCAGTGACAATGACAGCACTGCCTAAAATCACATGAGAATTCAAAACTAAGTTCAGGTAGCTTTCAGGGTCTGACATGGGTCAAAACTCATCATCCGACACCTAAAATGACATGAGCATTAAAAAAACAAGTTCAATGGTACACACTTCGAAAACTTCATGTAATTTTAAGTCTCCTAAGACAGACATATGGAAGCGACTCAAATGACATACAATTACGTTCGTCAGTGATTTTACATAACGTAAAATGTAGCACAATTTTAGTTTTAATCTTACAAGATTGTTGACATGTAATTTTATAGTGAGACGCATTTTTTAGCATTAGACGGAATATTCCGTCTAATGGCTATGGGAAAAGGGATTCATATTACAGATTTAACCAAACGCGCAATTTGGTGTGGATCGAATTCTGACACAACAAGTGTAAAGATCCAATGAACTAAATTTGAACAATAACTTTAAACGACGATGATTCGCGGATTAAAACACATTCAGGCAAATCGACACTAGATGCTAGATGCTACGTAAAGTAAATTTCGTTTACCAGATGCTGATGTCGGTTTAACTGAATAAGTTTTAATCCGTGCAAAAACGATGTTCATTCTCATTGTTTACATATGAGCGGATCGAATCTTTTCCGTTGACATTTATTTACATTTGTAAATAAATTACATTTACATTTTTTTTTTGTTACAAAATTTTGAAAACATATCGGTTTGGGATCTCAAAAATATTTTTATTTTCATATTCAGAATGTTAAGAATTGTGCATGGACATATATCTTGCACATTTTCCTAAGTCCTAAATGTATGAAATTTATTCTGTGTGCACTTTACCATGTTTCAAAGCCAGAATTTTAGAAAATTTTAGTTACAAAAATCATGGAATTATGAGATCTGGACGCTATGTTATTTCATTACGATCATTGCTTTTTCAAAATCAGTAAGCTTTAAAGGCTCCTACAATCGAGGTCCCAATTGTTGTTATGAAATGAATGTAATCAAATTTGTTTAACCATCAAAATAATAGTACGCCTCAATGTCATATCATTGGTCACAGAAAAAACAAGTTGGCTTGACGAAATTAAAAAAATGCAACTGGCCCCCCCAAGGCCCCTTCCAGATAAATTTTCTAGCTATGGCAATGCCAATAAATGGATGAAGTGTAACCCATTTCAAAGAAAGACGGCTTAACTCATTCAATTGATAAATACGTTTACCCATGTATGAGAAATACCAATAAATGAGTAATAGTTATTTACTAAAATGTAACAGATACTTATTAAACGGGTAAATGATTACAGATTTAATGAGTTAAACCACTTGTCTTTGAAATGGATGAACTTTCACCCAATCATGGGTATTTTCAGTTAAACACTCACTCACCCATGTTCTGTGGAGCTCCAGAGGCGCATAGGGTTGGAGTGTAGAGCAGTATTGTCGAGCAGTTTTGGGACAACCTGCCACCAGCGATTTTAAGAAAATGAAGCAATAAACTCCAAGTTTTTCAAGCTGAGCATAATATTATTCCACGAAAAAGTTCGACCGGTAGGAAACGTCATTTTTAATTGAATGATGTAACTCATTGACATCACCTAGATAATTTATCGTCATTTTTATAACAATTAAATTGCCGACCCCGCTACGATTTGGCACACTTACCGTTTGGGTCTTATCCGATAATGAAGATGATGATGCAGATCAATTGAAAACAAATATTGCGTTATTCCTGGATCCCATTTAAAACTAACATTCCCCACAGTTTAAAAAACTCAATCCCGAACGACACTTCTATATATTTCCTTATACGATGATGCTACAACATCAATATTTACACTGCTTAATGTGTCTACCGCCTGATCTCGCAGGCGACGACCGAAGCCAAACAGCATTCATCACACACTTGATTGAAGATTGCCACCTCGCCTCCCGCACAAATTCGCACACTCAACATTGTTTTAATGTTTGATGCGATGCTTAATGTAATGAACGGCGAAGAAAAAGAAGCACTTTGAAGAAAAAAAACTGTATTCCAAGTGGATTAACCAATGTAATGCAATGAAGATAGATCTCTCCGCAGGTAGCTAATCCTGGATTCCTTTGTGTGGTTTTGCAGATCTAAATAGAATCTCTGTGCTTTTTTCAAAGCCGGTCTACCGTTTACCGACAGACTGAACCCGAACCCATCGTAGATCAAAGCGAAAAGCAAGAGAATGATCCCAATCCAAGTGAGCCGAGTGGATTCATTGAGTTGTATCGCTAGCAACGACTGATGTCCCCTAACAGTGGACCTACTGCAATTTAGGAAGGCAAAGGTTTACGAAAACTTGTTTCTTATACCTACTGGATGAGGATATCGAAGGAATATTCAATAACCCCTAGATAAGTTTATTCCAGTTTTGGAAGTCGAGTACCACCCAACAATAGGCTCAATGTCCAAATAATATTCCTAATTTTCTAAAATTCTTCATTGTACCTTTGCCTCTTTTCTTCGGATCCTTTTCATGTCAGAAAAATTCGTAACTCTGGCTTTGTCATGTGTAGTGGGCTAGAAAAAAGAGAAACCGCCGAAAGTTCAATCCCGTGGAAGCGGTGGGAAGGGAGGAAAAGCTAGGGTAACCTCTACCAGGAGATAAAAGATATCCCTTTCCTTCGGCTACTGCTCCTGCTGGCGAAGGCTCCTTACAGAATACTCTAGGTGCCCTCTTCAGGGCGCGCACCAAAGCAGAGGAGATCTTGAATGTCTTTTTGTGTGTGTTTCGGTCTCTCTCTATCCATTCAAGGCAGTTGTTCAAGCCGAAGAAGATCATTATCCGGCAAATTTTCGGGACTAGAGAAACGTTTAAGCGATACCCACAAATGTCACTTGTCCGGGGGTTTCCTTTTCAGGACCTCCGTTCATTGTCGTCAGTGAAGCGTTGCTTCTGCTGTTGGCTGGATGCGGGTTTTACAAGCAGTTAATGGGTTGTTGTAAGGGAGTAATTTGGGAACAAGCGATTATCAAGATTTCACCACCAGTGTCGAGCAGTGGCAGCCGGATTGCTTGTCGTTTTGTTCATTCAATTTATTGATAGATGGAATTATGTTCCTTTTTGTGGGAGAGTGCGCGTTGCGCAACTGTTGTTATTCTAGAACAAAGCAAGCTGGTGATGGCTGGAAAAAGCATACCAATCATAGCAAGCCAACTGTTTGATATAAGACATCCGCAGTAGCCGAATAAATCATGTCTTTATGACAGTTCTTTTGAATGATCTTAGACTTTCACTTCCGAGCCGCGGCCGGATTTCATAGGAAATCAACAAAGCGGTATGCTTACTTTCAATCAAGCAAATGCCGAAAATGCGATGGTTGTAAACAGTAGCGATGGCATACAAAAACAATTCCTGCCTGATTTGAATTTGGACAAATACTATCAGCAAACGAAACAGGCTCTTATCAACATCCATTATGTTGGACGCTTGTTTTAATTACGTTCGCGGCAAATTTTACTTTGTCGATCCGACGAAGTCTCGTTAATGGACCACCAAGATTCGCTTCTCCCAGCTTCCCCTTCCAACCACCCGACTCTGCTGAGCATGTTGACAGTAAACACAATTAAGCGCAATTCAAGTGAGCCGGTCGGTAGCTTTTGTCACCACATTAAACCAAATAGATTTGTTTGTACGCCGGTTTATATCAATTCCCGGACGGTGGGGAGATGGAGCCTTTCGGCAGCTTCAACAGATTGTCACCCAAATGTCAGCTAGTGGTGTGACAAGCCTAGCTTCTCTCTTTTCACACATTGTGGGAGAAGAGTTTCCAGTATTCTTTCTAAATTGGAAGAAGTGCTCTGATCTGCGACTGTTGAAGAGATCTAGCATCCCTGGTGTCTATTCTCCCGATTATCGGTTGGGATTTGAAAAGTACAAACCTTCCGATCACCGTGCCGCTACGGTTGAATTAACATTGTGTGAGCACTTTCAAAGTGTCATCAGTGTCAACAATCGTGTGCTGAAAGCTCTCAACGAAGGCGGCATGAGCGCGAGATGGGGTTGGAGAGCACGAGGATCAAAGGAGCCGCAGCCGTTTTAAAACCGGCGCGGCTGCTATCTCCTCGGTAGTTGGCCTGTTTTCGACGCATGCACCTCGTTCTGTCGCCGATCTATGCGAGCTACCGCTTTACCCGAAACCGTCTACTCTGATGCAGTGACGATGTGTCGTCGTAACGATGACGGGCCGTTAATATGTCGTCGTTCCAAGCTCTTTGGCTATTATTTAATGATGACAAATATTAATATTGGCTGTATTTAATCTGCTGTTTTTTTTTTCTCTCTCTCTGTTGATGCTCTTCGACTAAGTCAATTGCTCACTTAATCGGTAGATCGGCCTGCACTGATCATGGGTGCGGACAATTTAATGGTGTTTGCTTGTATATTGATCGATCAGAGATGCCTGAGAAATTTATTGGCATTCCACAGAAGCTCGTCAGCTAATCGCCAACAAAGTGCTAATATTTAATCTGGAGCTCAAGGATTTGTGTCATACGATTAATCTTGGGGAAAAATTCGAGCTACTTACAAATCCATGCTTATCACTAATGTTGTTTGTCAATTTCAGCTTGTGAAATGACACCACTTTCTGCATCCACTGTTCACCCGTCGATGGCGAATCCGGATGAATGTACATCCGTTTCGGCATCTCCGGATCCGCCTTGCCGGCGATCATCCATCGACTGGAAAAAGAAGACCCAATGTGTTTTTAGTACCGTCAATCAGAACATTTTCGTGCGTTCCAGGAGGCAAATTGAACCACCTATCGACGCCACGAAATGTATTCGAGTGTTGTAAAACTCACCTGTTGTGAAACTTGTACCGGTAGTCGTCCGCTGCCACGATATCCAGTAACAGAATGTACTTGGCTTTTGCATCTAGTCCCGACACGCGAAATTTCATCTGCGGAAACATTTGTCTGTAATGAAAACACGAGGGGAAATAATGTAAAATTAATATGATTGTTGCATGTTCAATGAATTTAACTAGATACAGAAACACTCAGAAATCACTCATGCGTCATAATCAATAATTTGTACTACGACTGCTGTGCTGTTATCATTTAACAATCAGCACACAGTAGCGTAACGGTTACACTTCACGGTGTGACATGTGTTAGCGGCAATACATCTTAAAACATACGATTCTGGCAAGGTCAACGGGTCAACTGCGATAACCGAAACATAACCCGTCAAGGATGCAAGCACGAAAGTCCATAGCTATTATATTTCGCACCGCATTATGAATAACAAAAATATTCTTTATAGATCAAGCCGAATTACAGCTGGGTGGGCTAAATGTCCTATCAGTGAGTGGAGCTATTCAGCCAATCACTGGAGCTTCGGGGATCAATGTTGAGTGAAACTGATTATCAAGCAGCACTATTAAAAATGATTTACGGCCACTCTATTCACGCTCCATGGTGGTAAATAAAATCTTGTTAATGATAAAAATAATGAGAGGTAGAGAGCACATAACTTCGAACCACATGCCTTTGAAAAAGTGAAACCATTTCATCAAGCTTGCTCTGATACAGCTGATATAAATGAACATCGAAATGTCTAACTTGACGATAAACAATTGAACTCAAACTAGATGCATTGTACTGAAAGAAGAAAACAGATTTATTGTCTGCAAAAGTTGCTGCCAATCAAACGAATCCAGAATGATTTTCTTGTAACTGAAACTCCGGGACAAATAGGTAAATTGTTTGATTGTATGAAGTGGGCTGAAAATTACTTGTGATCTTCGATGCAAGTAGTAGGGGCAGATTTTGTAATACGCGCCACCACAATATTTCACTTAATAGTCACTTTGATGAACTTTTGATTCAACAGGTAGTATTTTGGGGTTAAATGTAATTGTAATCTAAAACTTTACAATTTCTGATCACAAAAATAAACTAAAATAAAAGTTAATTTGCCTTTTGATGTAAGATTTGTCAAAAGGTTGTAAGAGTTTTCATTTTTTTAAGATCATTCCTAAAATTTGATATATGAATCAACTTGCTACATTACCAGCTTCATGATCTTTGTGAAAACACAATGTTTTTATATCACAAATAGCGTTTTAAATGTACAAAGTTCTAAATTGAGGGTGTTCAGAGTGGACAAACATCATTTATTCAAAAAGGAATATGTTTGTAAAATCTCAAACCTATGTTAATCATCGATAGAATTTCCATTTGCCGTAATTAGGGCCTCATCATGCTTTCGGAATGCTCGACAGGTTCTGATAATATAGTCCGGGTCCATATCTCTCCAGGCGCGAGTCAATGTTTGTCTGGGGCTTGATGTACTGGAGTGGCGTTCGGCGCTGGCTTTGGCCTTCATGACGCGTCACACTGAACAATCCAAGGGGTTAAGATATGGGCTGGATGGCAGCCACATATCCGTCGGCCAGATCGGCAGATATTCCTTCAACCAATTCTGAGTGCGGTTCAAGGTGTGGCATGGTGCCCCGTCTTGTTGAAATACCAAATTCGGCTCCGGTCTATATTGCTCAGTAATCCATGGAAGAACATACTTACTAAGAATTCCGATATAGGGTAGAGAACTACTTCGGCCTAATCGCCCATTTTGGGCCTATCGAGCAGAAAACCTCAAATAAATCCATGATTTCAGAGTTAACAAGTAAATTATGCGTTTGGTACGATACTTTAGTTAATAAGCTACCGAACAAAGTCAATGAGAACGCGTGATATGAAGGTTTGCACCGATAATTCCCAGAAACAAAAGAAGCGCTCTGACCGAATCAATTTTTATCTTCATCCGATAGGCCGAAGTGAATTCATTGGCGTTTCAATGGCGTTTTAATGCGTTAGGCCGAGTTTAGAATCCGTACGCCGAGTTTGGCGTCAAGAAGCAGTGTTAGACTTTTGACAATATCTCAACGATTGGTTGCTCTTTATCAAATTTTACGGTACGTACGGAAAGGTAAATAAATTTGGAAGCCATCAGTATTAATAACATTCCGTTTGGTGCTAGCCTGAGCTAGATTAAGAAAGGCTAAGTGCGGGTTGTGCTTAATAGGCCGGAAATGGGGAAGTTAACCCTACACCTCCGTATTCACTTTATCCCCTTCAGTGAATATGCAAACATTATCACGAATACGGTAAATGTATACTTCCCGCAATAATATCGTACGGATATCGCATAAATGTATGCAACCTACGTAACTTCTAGCAAAAATGAAAATACCTGTGAATGTCTTTACATGGCCGTGGGGATACAAAGAGAATATATATATATTACTTAGGACCTAATGCAATGTTTAGCTTGAATTGTTGAAAAATCAAGCTGAACATTGCATTAGGTCCTAAGTAACATGGATCGATTCTCTTTTTCGACTTTCTCTTTCGTTAATAACTCGCATGGATTAACAATTCTCAGTGCATTTGCAGTTGCTTTTGTCACTGTATTAGACAAATTGAGGTAAATTGTTTCTCTTAGCAATTTAAAGAAGAACTCGATGAAGAGAATCGATCATCGAAGTTAGGACCTTATGAATGTACACTGTCGAACTAACCAATTTAATCCGACTAAAATGTGAGTTCCGCTTACTCTTTATGATTTCCATCCTGGATTAAGATTATGAAGTCTTCGCCGTTTGGCCTTAGCTGGATGGCGACGTGGAATCCTATTAAATGCTCCGGAGCTATGTTATGAACCATGGGTAGATATAGCAATCGACCATACTCCTCGAAGGGCAGTAGCTGGTCGTTGTAGTTGACAGTTAAGGCCCAAACTCCATTGTGGGCGGAAGTGGAACGGAAACGGCAAGTTTAACAGTTGTCACAAATCTCGCGCAACACGAGAAAAGGGCCTATCATTGTTGATCGATTTTTTCATCGATTTTCTCTTTCGCGACTAACACGACTGCAAATGAATTTCCCATTGAGTTTATTGTTTCAGGCGCAAGCTAACATCATCTTCTGTCGAACTATGTTGCGAGCTTACCAAGAAATTCGTTTATGTTGCCATGGTAAACCAAATAGAAAGTTGATGTAGAGAATCGATCAACGATGATAGGCCATTATACAATGTTACGCGAGAAATGACATGAAGATGGAGAAACTACGTTCCAAACTGTAACAGAGCAACGGTGGACAAGCTAGAGGGTAAGTGATTTATATTATTTTCATAGCGAAGCCCTAGAAAAATAATCATTATTAAAGTTTTCATTGTCCGGTGTCTGGCTGTGATTTTTTTTTAATAAAATAATATTAAATAATGATTGATATTATTTTATCATTGAAACAAATAAGAAAACTCCGATATTAATAAAAAAAACCATGCGTCCTTATCATATTTAATTTCTTTGATAGATTACTTTTTACACATTTTGCAGTAAAAACCGTTCTTGAAAAATGTGTAAAAAATACACATCTATTGACGTTTGATGGGTTTACACATAAATGTGTAAACGTAGGAAGCTTCCCATTCAACACACATGGGCCGGGATCAGCGGCTTTACTTCCCTTCCGAAGGAAGACGTGACCAGAGATTTTTATGCCTCAGAAAAAATCCCACCGACCTCGGCTGGGATTGAACCCAGATCCATTGGGGTGAAAAAGCAGTCACGCTTACCACTAAACCATCGGCGCCGGTATTTTGTTCAAATAGCAAGCGATATTGAGAGCGTACACACTACGAAAAAGTCATGACCGACACATGCAGTGAGTGAGTTAATGAGTTAATGTATCGTTCTATTTTGAAGAGACTGTGAATTACACAGGCGTTTGGCAGCGAAAGAAGATGCATGGTTTTGACTAGTGTATCACACGACCTAGCAATCAACCACTAGTGAGGCACCCTTAAAACTGATGTTTGAGCAACGTTTCAAGAGCAGACAACCTCATGTGCCTGTGTTTGTTGATGATGATGATCGTGTATTCTTAAAGATAATGAAGAATAACCACAAATTGGAAGCAGATTTTCATCTAGAAAAATATGAGGTCTTAAGGAAAGAGGATCTCATACAATCGTCTCTTCGTCAACATCATGAAAAAAGTTCCACCGGAACGTAATACATTTGAGGAAGGTTCCAGACAGAGGAGATCAAGTTGCTGATTAAGGAGACGATCTGCAGCAGCCGGTGGACAAGACAACGCGAAGTGCTTGAAGAAGGGGTCGGCGCCGGTGGTGTAGTGGTAAGTGGGATTACCTCTCACCCCAGCAGGCCTGGGTTCAATCCCAGTCGGGGCCGCCAGGATGTTCTGAGGCATAACATCTCTGATCACGCCTTACTTCGGAAGGGAAGTAAAGCCGTTGGTCCCCGGTTCATGAGTTGATGGGTCGATAGGTAGCGTCCAGGTGTGGGAGCATGGGGCATGAAGTAGTTCGCTTCCTCGTGGTGTGCCCTGGAAACGCTAATTATCGAACCCAACGGAGAGATATTGCGGCTAAACGAACTACCGCAGAGTAGGGACGCTGGAACCCCATCCAGCTCGTCCCAGGAGGTTGAGAAGCCCTGCACAAACCCTCGTTGTGCAAAGGCAGGAGTGACGCCTTGTTCTTAGAGTGCTTAGCACACGCAACTGGTAAGCGGTCACATCTGTCCTAAGCTACCCTGATGGAGAGTTGACTGGCTATCACGTCTGCTCTAGAACCCAGGCGAACAACGAACAGCGAACAACAAGAGGAGGTTGAGAAGCCCTGCACAAACCCTCGTTGTGCAAAGGCAGAAGTGACGCCGGGTTCTTAGAGTGCTTAGCACACGCAGCTGGTAAGCGGTCACATCTGTCCTAAGCTGCCCTGTTGGACAGTTGGCTGGCTATCACGTCTGCACTAGAACTCGGGCGAACAACGAACAGCGATCAACAAGAGGAAGGCCCTGCACAGCTGCTCACTGTGCAGTAGCGAGTGTCACGTCGGACACAACACCTATTGATGCGCCATAGCGCAACCGGCCCCCTCC